CGCAATGCATGCTGGGAGCCATGGATGAGTTATGATTGGTGCACCCAGAATGCACTGCAACATGAATCTGTCTGTTGATCAACACCATTGTTGAGATTCATATGCTGATTCTTGATGTCTGTGTGTCTAAACAGAATAGATGTTCTATACTGGTGTGAAAAATGTTTTTAAAGCTCTTCATATTGTTTTATTAAAATACAGTTGTGATCAGTAATAAACCGTATTGAACATAATCACTGACGATATTAGTGAACTTAACTACAACATGACAACTATGTCATAATCATAAAAAATGGCCAATATAATCTAAACACATTTTCTCTTGGTTTGTCTTGCTATAATAAGCATGTTTCATAAACACAATTACAGCAACAAGAGAAAAACTAGTGTTAAAAAAAGCCAAGGGTCAAGAGCCCAACTAAAGCAAACGCTTATCTCCACAACGGTGACTTCAAATTGTTTCTCTTTTCTTCAGTGATTCTGCTTGTTAACAGCAGCTGTTCATCACTAATGATCAATCAGCACTTAATTAATCACATAATTATCTCATTAACTTTAAAACTGCTTCAGTGTTACTTTACCACTCTTAGAGTGGGACCATATATGCTCCGAGCAGTGTTAATTTAACACTCGGGAATTTACTGTGTAAGATTGACTTGATTCAGTCTGCTATTTCGGATCATAGTCACAGGATTACCTCGCTTGAAACCAACGCTAATGTAAAAGAGGAGCGTTTACATGCTCTGGAGAAGATATGTTCGGTCCTGTCGGAAAATAACGCAAAGTTTCAATCCAAAATTACCGACCTCGAATCGCGAACCTAAAATACCAGGGCAACCCGATTGCAATATCTGAAGATTACGCGCCGGATGTTGCAGCGCAAAGAGCCCAATTCCGACACGTCATGGCTGATCTCTATAAACTGGGAATGAGGCCTTCATTACTCTTTCCAGCGAGACTTTTCATCAGAACACAGGATGGAAATCGGAAATATTTTACGTCGCTGACAGAGGCAGAGGACTTTGTATCGTCAATCCGTGCCGGCTCTTCCTCGTAGAAGAACGCGACCGTTATACTGACTGAATCTAAGGTTGTGGTATTTTGGTTCATGTATGCTTCTGTTTCTTAATGTAACGACGCTTAGTCAAAGTCTATAGAATACTTAAAGGGACTTGGCTTACTAGGATGACGACATTGAGGACTTCATTTATTTTCTTATAAGTTAATTCCCTCAGTCAACGTTTCCATGCAAACAATTACAGTTCCTTGGACTGACGGAGATGTTTTCCTACCTCTGAAAAATGTCGGTCATCACAGGTAAAGAGATCTGATGTCATGTTCTATTCTGGTTATGAGATAATACGCTAATTTGGGGAGTTTAAATATACTGTAAGGGGAGTTAAGATACATAGTAGGTATGCCGTTTTCTAAAGAGCGTGTTTCGCTTGGATTATGTTGTGTTCTGGGGATTTGGGACTTTTTCTATTTATTTATTTATTTTTTTGTACATGGTTCATGGTTTCAATATTTTTCCATATTGTG